GGAATTCCATCGGAGTTCCAAAGAATTTCCTATGGGATTCCGACGGAATTCTGACTCTAAAAATTTTGACTTTTCGATCTTTTATTCGAAAATCTCTTTTTTCATTTTCAAAATCAATTTTCTATTAATTATACTTTGGCAGAAATTACTGGGGCAACAGTCTGTTACTATGGAAACAGTTACTATGGCAGAAGTTACTCTGGTAACAATTAGTTACTACGGCAAAAGTTACTATGGCAAAAGTTAATATGGAAACCGTTACTGTAGGGCAGAAGTTACTATGGTAACAGTTAGTTTCTATGGCATAAGTTACTATGGCAGCAGTTACTGTAGTAACAGTTACTTACTATGGCAGAAGATACTATGCCATAGTAACTAACTGTTACCAAAGTAACTTCTGCCATAGTAACTAACTGTTACCAAAGTAACTTCTGCCATAGTAACTAACTGTTACTACAGTAACTTCTGCCATACAGTAACGGTTTCCATAGTAACTTCTGCCATAGTAACTAACTGTTACTACAGTAAATTCTGCCATAGTAACCTTCAATTCCTCAACTAACTGCATAAGTTACTATCGCAGAAGTTACTATGTCAGAAGTTACTTTGGTAACAGTAAGTTACTATGGCAGAAGTTACTATGGCAGAAGTTACTGTAGTAACAGTTACTTACTATGGCAGAAGTTACTATGCCATAGTAACTAAATGTTACTAAAGTAACTTCTGCCATAGTAACTAACTGTTACTACAGTAACTTCTGTCATACAGTAACGGTTTCCATAGTAACTTCTGCCATAGTAACTAACTGTTACCAAAGTAACTTCTGCCATAGTAACTAACTGTTACTACAGTAACTTCTGCCATACAGTAACGGTTTCCATAGTAACTTCTGCCATAGTAACTAACTGTTACCAAAGTAACTTCTGCCATAGTAACTAACTGTTACTACAGTAACTTCTGCCATACAGTAACGGTTTCCATAGTAACTTCTGCCATAGTAACTTCTACGATAGTAACTTATGCAGTTAGTTGAGGAATTGAGGGGAAAAGTAAATATTGAATAAAAAAAGTAAATTATTAAATAAGAAACCTAAAATTAAATATAAACATTTAATCATAAAAAGAAATTAATTTTAATATTTAAAGAATAGTGATACAAAAAAATGAAAAAAAAAATTATGTAAAGATAACAAAAATGACATAAAGATGGTGAAAAAAAAAAAAAATATTGTGACAAAACGTTATGACGCATTGAAGCCAGTTTCAGCCAATGGAACAGATGACATAAACTGACACTTCCGTTATTCAGTTCCCTCTTTTATACTATATATGTCGTGATTGGTTCCTTCCTCTGCATTTCTATAAATACGTGCTGCCAGCGTTAGGCGTCTTTTATAGTACGTGCGAGAGATTCACTTGGAAACGACGTTTTACGATTTTCTTCCTGAAGAACGTTTTGAGTACATCCCAATAAGTCCAACATCCCCCCCACCATCCACTTCCGACATACAAACATAGACACACACATTTGGTCGCTATTTCATTCAAATTCAAACTTGATAGCCTTCGGGCAATAACAAACTTGGAATATATATCCTAAAGATTGTACCGCACGATTTTGATGAAATGGTCCAAAAGAGAGTCAACATTTCAGAAATGGATTTCAAAAGAAACTATTTTTCATCATTCATATATGATATATTATTAAACAACCAAGTTTTTTGAAATGTAATATATGTCTAGTAAAATTTTTTGAGATATTTTTACTATTCAGTTGTAAAGAGATTTTTCTTGAAAAATTGATCATATTTTTGTTGAAAAATGACTCAGCTAAAGTAAATAAAAATTTATTTTTATTTTATTAATAACAGGGAAAAAAATCTTTCCCTGGAACAATGATAAGTTTCTTTGCAATAGCGATGTATTTTTCTAGAATAGCGAAAACTATCGCTGTTTTAGTGAAACATATTGTTGTTCTAGATAAAGATTTTTTTGCGTGGAAAGTAAAACTTTTTATTTTTTTAATTATATCAGTAATATAAGTAAATCTTTAGTCCGACTTTCTATTTTTTTATTTTATCAGTAGTACAAGTAAATATTTAGTCAGACTTTCTTTTTTTTTTAAATTTTTCACTAGTATAAGTACAAACCGGTTTTTGGTCAGACATAATGACAAAATTAAAAAAAATCAGTAGTAAAATTTGTGTTAAGTCAGACATAATGAGTTAATTTAAGAAAGAAAACAGTAGTAGTATAAGTCAATATTTATTTCGACTTTCTACATTTTTGTTATTGTATCAGTGGTACAAGTTGGTATTCGGTCAGACATAATGACTTAATTAGAAAATCAGTAGTACAAGTCGGCTACAGTCAGACATTGTGAATAAATTATAAAATTAAGTAGTAAAAGTTAATATGTAGTCAGATTTTCTATTTTATTAAATTTTATCAGTAGAACAAGTAAATATTTAGTCCGACTTTCTATTTTTTTTAATTTCATCAGTAGTACAAGTAAGTATTTATTCAGACTTTCTTTCTTTTTTTAAAATTTTTTCAGTAGTATAAGTACAAACCGAATTTTGGTCAGACATAATGACAAAATTAAAAAAACAGTAGTAAAATCTGTGTTAAGTCAGACATAATGAGTTAATTTTAAAAAACATTAGTAGTATAAGTCAATATTTAGTTCGACTTTCTAAATTTTTTTTGTATCAGTGGTACAAGTCAGTATTCGGTCAGACATGATGGCTTAACTAGAAAATCAGTAGTAAAAGTCGATTTTAGTAAGACATTGTGAATAAATTAAAAAATTAAGTAGTAAAAGTAAATATGTAGTCAGACTTTCTATTTTATTAAATTTTATCAGTAGAACAAGTAAATATTTAGTCGGACTATTTTTTTAAGTAGAAAAACTGTGTTTCAGTCAAACATAATGAATAAAAATTAAAAAAGTAGTAAAAGTAAACATATGGTTTAACTTTGAAATTTTATTAATTTTATCAGTAGTACAAGTAAATATTTAGTCACATTTTTTCTATTGTAATTTTTTTCAGTAGTACAAGTACAAACTGGTTTTTGGTCAGACATACAAAAAAATTAGAAAATCAGTAGTAAAATTCGGTTTTTAGTCAGCCATTTTTTTAGTACATTACAGATGGGAAACGAGAAGAAAATTGTGTGTAAAAGCATTTTTTTTCTTGTTACATTGAACGAAGAGAGAAAAAATTGTTTCTGACTTTGGCTTTCATTCTTGCCAAGGTATAACCACGTGTCAGAAACACACGTTCAACGATGGACGAATGCCATTACTCATTACTCTCTTTCTCTCTCTCTTTCTCTCTCTCACGAAAATATGAACAAGTTTAACTTTCTCAGAATTGATTCATAAATTTTCGTATACAGAAAAAAAAGGAATTTTGCCAAAAAATGAAAATTAAGTTTTCAATTTTTATTTTATCTTAAACGCAAAGACGCAACATTAAATTATGTATGTTTATAATATATATATAAAGATACGATAACCCACTTTCGTGTTGCTTTGCTTATATATTTTAAAATGTATGAGTCGTTCGAAAACTCTCCAATCTAATTAAATATGTATTTTACACTTTAGAAAATTCCCATGGTTGCAAACTGATTAAACAAGAAAAAGAAACGAAAGAAGAAGAAGGAAATTGAGAAAAATTTTGCTCTAAATATTTTAAAAAGACTTTAACGTGTATAAATTTAAAAAAGTTCTTTGAATTTAAAAAAAAAAAATTCTGCCGAATGTGTTTGTAATTTTTTTTTCAAACACGGTTTTTGATATTATCGACATAAATATAAAAAGAAATTAACACATTTTTAATTTTAATTTAAAATACTTAATAATACATAAAAATATAAAAAAATTTAAATACAAAATAATTTTAAAAAAATTTTAATACAAAATAATTTTAAAAAAATCGTAAAATAAAATAAAATCGACGAGATTTAAACTCGTTGCTGCGTAAAAGGAACATTTCTCACTCCTAGGTTACATCGTCCCTGGGATATTAATCATAAGACAAAAGTTCTTGGCGTCGCATACACATACACACAAACACACCTAGAAATTGGAAGCATCTGAACATAAGAGAACACGTGACATCCGGTAGTCTTTCCCTTATTTCCCTTCTTGTGTCTATTCTCCAACGACAAACATTCATCATTGCCTTTATAACATTGATAACTGCCCTAAGAACATGGACATTTTTTTTTTGTAAATTTATCAGTAGATAATATGACAATTTTAATAAGACAAAAAATAACTAGCAAAACTCATTATTTTTTTTAATTAAACAATTTTTAGTAGTACAAGTCAAATATTTACTTTGCCATTCTCCATTTGTATAATTTTATCAGTAGTGCAAGTAGATTTTAGTCAGACATAATTAATAAAGTATGAAAATAGTGGTAAAAATACAAACTTTTATCAGAATTTCTAATTTTTTTAATAAAGTTTTTTTTTCATCAACCATCAACCATTCCATCAAAACCAATTTATACTACTGAAAAAAATTTACAATAAAGTCATATTATATATTGACTTCAACTACTTGCTTTGTACTACTAGACCATCAAATGACCTTGAATGTCCTTGACTTGACCTTTAAATGACCTTGAATGACCTTGACTTGACCTTCAAATGACCTTGAATGTCCTTGACTTGACCTTGAAATGTCCTTGACTTGACCTTCAAATGACCTTGAATGTCCTTGACTTGACCTTTAAATAACAAAAATGTACAAAGTCAAACTAAATATTAACATGTACTACTGACTTTCTAATTGAGTAATTCTGTCGGATTAAAATCGACTTGTATATGACCTTCAATGTCCTAGACTTGATCTTCACCTTCAAACATCCTTCAAATGACTTTGAATAACCACGACTTGACCTTCATATAACCTTGAATGTCTTTGATTTGACCTTCAAATGACCTTGAATGTCCTGGACTTGACCAAATGACCTTCATATAACCTTGAATGACCTTGACTTGACCTTGAATGACCTTGACTTGATCTTGAATGACCTTCATATGACCTTGAATATCCTTGATTTGACCTTCAAATGACCTTGAATGACCTTCATATGACCTTGAATGTCCTTGATTTGACCTTGAATGACCTTCATATGACCTTGAATGTCCTTGATTTGACCTTCATATGACCTTGAATGTCCTTGACTTGACCTTCAAATGACCTTGACTTGACCTTCAAATGACCTTGAATGACCTTCATACGACTTTGAATGTCCTTGACTTGACCTTCAAATGACCTTGAATGACCTTGAATGACCTTGAATGACCTTGACTTAACCTTGACTTAACCTTTAAATGACAAAAATGTACAAAGGCAAACTAAATATAGACTTGTACCACTAATTTTTTTTAAATTGAATCATCATGTCTGACTAAAAACGAATTGTACTACTGATTTTTTTTTTAAATCAAATCATTATGTACTACTGAAAAAAATTTTCAAATTCTCACTAAATATCGAGAAAAAAAAACTTTCTTTTTTTTTTTGCTTCTAAATTATCTTTATTTGTCTGATGCGATTCTCATGAAGAAAATTGAAAAGAAACAAAAGTAGAGTGTATTTTGCACTTTATTAGAGGGATGGTAGGGGGGTTTCTTTTTTTCTTTTTTTTTTGGTTGTATAGCGACAATTGGAACAGTGGCAATCCTTATATACCCCCGGCTGACTTACGCGCGCGTTCTCCTTGCTTTTAACAGTGGAAATAAAGAGGACGATGAAACGACTGGTAAAAGAAGATTTTCTACCGTTGGTTGGTTGGTTGGTTGGTGAAAAAGGCGCTTGCTATAGTAGCCGACGCGCACTATCTTGGGAAAATTATGTCATTCCTATCTCTCAGGCTTGAAAGGCACGACCTACAATGGCTACGAGAAGATATGACGCAACCCGAAATAAAAGGACAGAGAGTGTGAAATCTTTAGCTTCACATAGTGTGTATGTGTGTGTGTGTGTACTATCTTCTCTAATAACTTCCTTTTCTCTTCCTGAGAATAGAAATTATTACCAACTGCACAATGAATTTCAATTTAGTGGCAATTTAATTGATTTTTTCTTTTTTTTTTTTGCGAAAAGAAGAAAATTTTGACAATTTTTTTTGGGGATTATTATTATTGTCGTTAATTATTAATTTAATTGTAATTAATTTAATTGTAATTAATTTAATTATAATTAATATTTTAATTAATACTATAATTATTATTATAACTAATATTTTAATTAATATTTTAATTAATATTTTAATTAATATTTTAATTAGTATTTTAATTAGTATTACAAGGAAAAAAAATCTTTATCTGGAACAGCGATATGTTTCTCTAGAATAGCGAAAAATTTAGCTGTTTTAGTGAAATAAATCGCTGTTCGAGGTAAAGATTTTTTTCCGTATATAATTAATATTTTTAATTAATATAAATTATATAAATTGTAAATTTTTCTCTTTTTTCCGCTTTACATTTTACCCCTTTTCTTCTTCATTATATCTTTTTTTTCTTCATTATTCTCTTTCTTTCTTTCTTTCTTTCTTTTTTTTTTGCGTAAAATTTCCTTTTCTCGTTTCTTCACCAAAAAACAAAAAGTCTTTTATAAAACAGTTCATCTTGAAAATGAAAGGCAAACAATATATCTTTTCATTTGCATAACGAGAACATTAAAAATATTTTCAATTTTCAAAGATAAATTAAATTTTGAAATTACAAAATAAAAAAAAAAAAAAAAAGAAATTTAGAAACGAAAATTGAAATAATTTTAAAAATATATATAAAAAATAAAGAAAAGAAAACATTTTATACCGAGTTCATTTTAGTGTTCACAATTCAAAGTAAAGGTGGCAAATTTCAAGAACAGTTTGAGAGCAACGATAATGTGAGGACGATACGTAGATATCCGGTCGTGACAATAACGATAAAGATTCGTTTCAAAAAAGAATCGCCTCGAATAGTCGATGAAGTTTTGAATGTTGCCAAGATATCTTTCTCTCTCTACAAGTTTCTTTTCTCAGAAAGAAAAAATTTACAATTCAATTATTTTTTTTACTAGTTTATAATTTTAAATAAAATTTGTTACAATTATTTTTTTTTTTTTTTTTTAGCAAAATATAGTTTTTCAATTTAGAAAAAAAATTATTTTATGATGAGAATATAAAAGATAGACGTGACCTCGCAATAGTATCGAATAAAGCTCAGCAAAATTCTAAATGACGAGAGGACGAAAAATGTTAGATTTCAAGTTGATTTCAAGATCATATTTTCCCTTCCCCTGCTTCGTTCGTGTTCCTCTAGACGAGAAAATGGAGAAGTAAGCGAATGGAAAAAGGAAAAAAAAAAATAAAATACTGAAGTTTCTGAATTTCAGCAGCTGGGGAAAAAAAGGTGACACGACTTACAATTCACTATGACACAGGTTGTGGGTTTATTAACATCCAGCCATACACCATGTAGCTTCATAGCTTCGGTTAAGTTTATATAAGAAGTCCTTTTTTATAAAGGGGCAACTGTTTGGATAAAGCAATTTTTTTTCCGACCCCCCCCTCCCTCTTTCCTTATAATATAAATCCTTCTCCCAAAGGCGATATTGAAAAAGGTTCCAATAAATAACTTTCTATTTCACTTATTCCTTGAAAAAAAATTTTTTAGAAGAAATTTTTTTTAAATCCTAAATTGGTGAATTTTTAGAATTCCATCGGAATTCCATCGGAGTTCCAAAGAATTTCCTATGGGATTCCGACGGAATTCTGACCCTAACAATTTTGACTTTTCGATCTTTTATTCGAAAATCTCTTTTTTCATTTTCAAAATCAATTTTCTATTAATTATACTTTGGCAGAAATTACTGGGGCAACAGTCTGTTACTATGGAAACAGTTACTATGGCAGAAGTTACTCTGGTAACAATTAGTTACTACGGCAAAAGTTACAATGGCAAAAGTTACTATGGCAGAAGTTAGTTACTATGGTAACAGTTAGTTACTATGACTGAAGTTACTAAGGTAGCAGTTAGTTACTATGGCAGAAGTTACTTTGGTAACAGTTAGTTACTATGGCAGAAGTTACTATGGAAACTGTTACTGTATGACAGAAGTTACTGTAGTAACAGTTAGTTACTATGGCAGAAGTTACTTTGGTAACAGTTAGTTACTATGGCAGAAGTTACTATGGCAGAAATTACTATGGAAACCGTTACTATATGGCAGAAGTTACTGTAGTAACAGTTAGTTACTATGGCAGAAGTTACTTAGGTAACAGTTACTTACTATGGCAGAAGTTACTAAGGTAACAGTTACTATGGCAGAAGTTACTAACTTCTGTCATACAGTAACGGTTTCCATAGTAACTTCTGCCATAGTAACTAAATGTTACCAAAGTAACTTCTGCCATAGTAACTAACTGTTACTACAGTAACTTCTGTCATACAGTAACGGTTTCCATAATAACTTCTGCCATAGTAACTAAATGTTACCAAAGTAACTAAATGTTACCAAAGTAACTTCTGCCATAGTAACTAACTGTTACTACAGTAACTTCTGTCATACAGTAACGGTTTCCATAGTAACTTCTGCCATAGTAACTAACTGTTACTACAGTAACTTCTGCCATACAGTAACGGTTTCCATAGTAACTTCTGCCATAGTAACTAAATGTTACCAAAGTAACTTCTGCCATAGTAACTAACTGTTACTACAGTAACTTCTGTCATACAGTAACGGTTTCCATAGTAACTTCTGCCATAGTAACTAACTGTTACCAAAGTAACTTCTGCCATAGTAACTTCTACGATAGTAACTTATGCAGTTAGTTGAGGAATTGAAGGGAAAAGTAAATATTGAATAAAAAAAAGTAAAGTATTAAATAAAAAACCAAAAATTAAATATAAACATTTAATCATAAAAAGAAATAATAAAAAGAAATTAATTTTAATATTTAAAGAATAGTGATACAAAAAAATGAAAAAAAAAAATTATGTAAAGGTAACAAAAATGACATAAAGATGGTGCAAAAAAAGACTTTCTATTTCACTTTTTCCTTGAAAAAAAATTTTTTAGAAGAAATTTTTTTAAATCCTAAATTGGTGAATTTTTAGAAAAAAACTGCTTATTTATATTATCAAATAGCGTTATTTTTTTTTTTTTTTTTTTTTGCTACACTTTTCTAATCGATACTCTTCAAACATTTATTACATAAAGTCAGTAAATAAAGAAAAAAAAAAAAAAAATTCCTCGTTTTAGATAAAGAATTCTCACGTATTGATATCGTGAAGAATTCGATAAAAATGAAGGAAAAAAAAAGAAGAGAATAAAGTTCTATTCGCGTTGAGGATTTATGAGGTTCTTTTCGATTCTTAAAAATTGTTATATATTCTCTTTGTGTAATAACAGACTTTGAGTCTATAAAAAAGGGGTTTCTTTTTTTAAAAAAAGTACGGTAGTTAAATAAAATTTGTAACCCGTTTCTTTTTATTGTATCTTCAATTATATTTTAATTATCAATTTTTTTTTTTTGTAGACAATAATATTTTTTTATAATAATAATAGTATTTTTTTTTTTTTACAAAATTCTGAATTTTCTATAATCTAAAACGAAATTCGTATTTTATGATGAAAATGCATGTAAACTAATCTATTTTCTAGTTATATACTTTGTATTAAATTTGTTCGGTTTCAATTGAAAAGAATTTAATTCCCGAGAACTTCAGTTTGAAAGCCATGTTTATGTGTATGTGTATATATGTGATGTATTCACAAAAAGTATTTTATAAATTCGAAATATTATATTCTAATAATTAAATTTTACTTCATTTAATGACATTTGAAAAGTTATTTACGCTTTTTTTTACACGGTATAATTTAATAGTTTGCTTCATTTAGAATTTAATTTTTCGACCAAAAAGAAAGTATTAAAATACGATTTTTGGTATCAAAATAAAACCAAAAGTATATCTAAAATCGATATTAAATTACCTTTCGTTTTTTTTTGTTAAAAATTAAAAATTATAAAATTTTTACCCACTAATATCTCGTGGAAAATCTTTTTTTCTATTCTCATTTTCTTTTTTAAATAGAAAGGAAAGCTGAAAGCATTAGAGTGTGATGCTCTTATTTTTGAGGTTCTTCGGTTAATCTTCTTGAAGTGAACTCTCGAGAAAGATGCGCTTGTTTCAAGTACCATAGTAGTAGAATTTGAGTCGATAGGGTCGAGTGGGTATTGCGAATGAGAATAGAGTTTAAATGGATGTAGCCTCAGTAGCCGGACATAGACTTCTTTTTTCAGAAGAAAAAAAAAAAAAAAAAAAAAAATTCTTTTTATCTTGGAGTTTTACAGATGTTTGAGGTGAAATCGATGCTGGGTCTCGTCACGGATTTTCGGCTTCTCCGGCAAAAGTTTCCGTTTCTTGAAATCCGAATGGCTTTTTCGTGTTACCAAAATCCACGGGAACAATCACAGAATCCTTCAAAGAATGAATCTCCCTCCCTCCATCTAGAATTTTTTTCATCGTGTTTCGATTAAATAATTTTTTTTTTATAAATACTTCTCGAGAAATTCATATTTTCAAAAACAATGAAAATTTTGCTACAATAGAAATATTATTTGAATTTGAAAATAATTTCAATTACAGATATTTATTTATGGGAACAATAGAATTTTTAGAATTCTATAATAATGAAATCATACCTTTTGAAATGTACGTACCTTTTTTTTTTTTTTTATTATGAACGGCAGAAATATATGAATAAAATGTGAGAATAAATATTTGTTTGAAAATAAACAAAAAAAAAAAAGTGAAGAGGTGAGTATTTTTTTTGTATGAATTTTTTTTTTTCAATTACACAAAATTTTTTTTTGCTTTCAGAAAGAAAATGGTATCCCGTCAAAGAATGACAAAAGGCTGAAGAAATCGTGATATGTCAAATATAACAGAGTGTATTCAGTCAGAAAAGAGAGCTTTATATCTTTCACTATGCATATATATATATATATACATTCAATGCTCTTTAGTATTTCAGTGCCTTATCAACAATTCTAAGATTTTTATCCTAAACAGAAAAGCAGCTTTTTTATTATGGGAACTTCAATCAGAAAAAAAGAGATGGAAAAATTTAATATACAACAATAAATACCAATTTATAAAAGGATGGAAATAAACGGATATTTCAAAATATTGTACAAACATTCGAAAATTTGGATTACAATACTAAATTTTGAGAAAAACTTGTTTGACTATAAATACGTAACTGACAAAAAAAAGGAAAATTTAGTTATACTCTTGGATTCTAATTGGCCTTCCAACGCTCATGAAAAATCTCTTAAACCTTTGAACGATTATTACTTGCTCAACTGTTTAAGAGAGATTTCATGAGTGTGACAAAAGTTCATAGGATCGACAGAGTTATTACTTATTATTATTATTATTATTATTATTACATAAATTTAATGTTCAAATCTATTTTAGCTACTGATATAATAATAAGAAAAATGAAAAAAATTACCTACGTGGTAATCTACTTTTTAAGCTAATGGTACTAAACAAAACCAAAAAGATAAAACATTGCTGAAAAATGAAAATATAAAAAATTACCGACATAGGAATCTACCTTACCGACTGATGGTAAAACAGTATAAAAACGTGTTTTACCATCAGTCGGTAAGATAGATTTCATTGTCGGTAAATTACTAATGCAGAAAATCTTTCACTATGCATATATACATTCAATGCTCTTTAGTATTTCAGTGCCTTATCAATAATTCTAAGATTTTTATCCTAAACAGAAAAGCAGCTTTTTTATTATGGGAACTTCAATCAGAAAAAAAAGAGATGGAAAAATTTAATATACAACAATAAATACCAATTTATAAAAGGATGGAAATAAACGGATATTTCAAAATATTGTACAAACATTCGAAAATTAGGATTACAATACTAAATTTTGAGAAAAACTTGTTTGACTATAAATACGTAACCGAAAAAAAAGGAAAATTTAGTTATACTCTTGGATTCTAATTGGCCGACGTCTGAAAAGATCGCTTCAGTGAATTTATTCAGAGTCGGTTGCACATTGGGAAAAACGTAATAGAAGGTTATAACTAGGTTCAGTGATGCGATACCTTGGAACCCAGTAGACTATATAGCTTTAATATGCCACGTGCGCGCGAAATACAAACGGGGAATGCATCAACACTGTATTATACGTATTAGTGTATATATGTGAGTGTATATATATACATACATTTGCCAGGCGATACTTTGTAGCTTATCCGGCCGGCTTGGAAAGATCCGTCGACCGTATACAAAATTCATAATCCCGCGGTGTTATAATGTTTGCCGGGAATACCCGAGGTGTAATGCGAATACTGGCTGTGTGTGTGTGTGCATAAAGTGCGGCGACGTCTACGAGTTTGAAGAGGTATGGGTGTTATACTCCTTAAGAGAGAGAGAGGGGAAGTGAGGAAATATGACTGGTACTGTCGTCAGAAGGGGTTTGCGGCAGCAGGTAATGGATCGCTTCAGGCAACAAGAGACACACCTGAGATGTAGTTGTGTATATATACCTTGAATATTCACCTGGTTTTACTTACACAAGAATAGAAGATGAAAGAAGAATTTCTCTCGAATATCCCTAAATATCACTAGGTACACATAAAAGTCTATATATTCGCAGGATATACTTACATATTCCTACCATAGCATTCAATTAGTAACAAAGACACTAATTACTGAAATGTTTTCACTTCAAGTCATGAGAATCTACCTTCACAGAAGTTATTTTACAGAAGGAAATTGAAAAGACAAAAATCTGAAATACTCTTTTGAACCTTTGAATCTTGGAACTCATATAAAAACTCTCTTGACCCTTTGAACCTTGGAATCTTGGAACTCATATAAAAACTCTCTTGACCCTTTGAACCTTGGATCCCGCATGAAATCTCTCTTGAACCATTGAACCTTGGATAGCACATAAAATCTCTCTTGAACCTTTGAACCTTGAAACCCACATGAAAACTCTCTTGAACCTTTGAACCTTGGATCCCACATGAAAACTCTCTTGAACCTATGAACCTTGGATCCCACATGAAAACTCTCTTGAACCTTTGAACCTTGAATCCCACATGAAAACTCTCTTGCACCTTGGAACCCTCATAAAAACTTTCTTAAATCTTGGATCCCACATATAATCTCTCTTGAACCTTTGAACCCCCATGGAAACTCTCTTGAACCTTTAAACCCGCATACAAACTGTTGAAGCTTTAATCCTTCCAACGCTAATGAAAACTCTCTTGAACCTTTGAACGATTATTACATGCTCAACGGTTTAAGAGGGATTTCATGAGTATGTCAAGAGTACATAGGATTGACAGAGTTTTCGTAAGGGTTCAAATGTTCAAGGTTCAAAGAGTTTAAGGCTTAAATTTAATGTTCAAATCTATTATAGCGATTGATATAATAAAAAGAAATATTGAAAAAAAAATTACCTGCGTGTTAATCTACTTTTTAAACTAATGGTACTGAACAAAACCAAAAAGACAAAACATTGCTGGAAAATGAAAATATAAAAAATTACCGACATAGAAATCTACCTTACCGACTGATGGTAAAACAGTTTTTTAAAATGAAAATATAAAAAATTACCGACATAGGAATCTACCTTACCGACAGATGGTAAAACAGATTTTTTGAAAAATGAAAATATAAAAAATTACCGACATAGGAATCTACCTTACCGACTGATGGTAAAACAGATTTTTTGAAAAATGAAAATATAAAAAATTACCGACATAGAAATCTACCTTACCGACTGATGGTAAAACAGTTTTTTTTGAAAAATGAAAATATAAAAAAATTACCGACATAGGAATCTACCTTACCGACTGATGGTAAAACAGATTTTTTGAAAAATGAAAATATAAAAAATTACCGACATAGGAATCTACCTTACCGACTGATGGTAATTACCGACTGATGGTAAAACAGATTTTTGAAAAATTACCATCAGTCGGTAATTACCATCAGTCGGTAAGGTAGATTCCTATGTCGGTAATTTTTTATATTTTCATTTTTCAAAAAAATCTGTTTTACCATCAGTCGGTAAGGTAGATTCCTATGTCGGTAATTTTTTATATTTTCATTTTTCAAAAAAAACTGTTTTACCATCAGTCGGTAAGGTAGATTTCTATGTCGGTAATTTTTTATATTTTCATTTTTCAAAAAAATCTGTTTTACCATCAGTCGGTAAGGTAGATTCCCATGTCGGTAATTTTTTATATTTTCATTTTTCAAAAAAAACTGTTTTACCATCAGTCGGTAAGGTAGATTTCTATGTCGGTAATTTTTTATATTTTCATTTTTCAAAAAAAACTGTTTTACCATCAGTCGGTAAGGTAGATTTCTATGTCGGTAATTTTTTATATTTTCATTTTTCAAAAAATCTGTTTTACCATCAGTCGGTAAGGTAGATTCCCATGTCGGTAATTTTTTATATTTTCATTTTTCAAAAAAAACTGTTTTACCATCAGTCGGTAAGGTAGATTTCTATGTCGGTAATTTTTTATATTTTCATTTTTCAAAAAAATCTGTTTTACCATCAGTCGGTAAGGTAGATTCCTATGTCGGTAATTTTTTATATTTTCATTTTTCAAAAAATCTGTTTTACCATCAGTCGGTAATTACCATCGGTCGGTAAGGTAGATTCCTATGTCGGTAATTTTTTATATTTTCATTTTTCAAAAAAATCTGTTTTACCATTAGTCGGTAAGGTAGATTTCTATGTCGGTAATTTTTTATATTTTTATTTTTCAAATAAAAACTGTTTTACCATCAGTCGGTAAGATAGATTTCATTGTCGGTAAATGACTAATGCAGAAAATCGGTAGTACAATTTAGTTGTAATTAGACATAATAAGAACAATTTTAAAAGTAGTTTAGTAAAATTAATAATTAACTTTATTTGAAATTTTCTAATAAACAAAACTACTCTCTTTACCAGCTTATTGTCTTAAATTTTTTTTCTCCTCTCTCTTCTTGGGTAGAGTATCTGATACGTTTTTTTCCTTCACTTCTCTTTTACTTGAGGCGTTGTGTTACAATATCTAAAAAGGTCAAATAAAGAGTGGATTCTATTTTTAGAATATACATTTTTCGAATTTGTTTACATAAAACGGAATGATGACACATAATAATGAAAAAAAAATTGCTGTTACAATAAAATACTTTTCATTCATCATGAAATAATTATTCTGATAATTCTGAAACAATTACCAATTATATAATATATTAATTGTCGATTATTAAATGGTTTTCCTTTTCTTATCAGGAAAATGTAAAAAAAAAAATGTTCTGAATATGACAAAAATACGAATATTTATGAAATATGAGACATTATTATTAGCATATTTATAAAAAGGGCTGACAGTATATATATACAGTTTTGAAATATTTAGACAAATAAAAATAAAAGTCTGTTGAAATTTTTTGAAATGAAGGATGATAACAATCCGTGGAATTGTTTACAACCTCTTCCCCACCCCTTGGAAAAATGCCCTTGGGACGTGGAAAACGTTTTTTTTTTTTTTTTTATTATTTTTATGAATGCAAGACTCCTCAGGATTTTATGGGGATGTAAACCGAGTGATGGAATTCGGGATAACATCCCAGAAGGGAGATATTAATCTTGAAAATAGTTTACAAGCTTTAAAAATTACATGAACGTATTTATTCGCCATCGTTTTAATTTTCTTTCTTCTTTTTTTCGTATACTTACTGTGGGAGAAAAAAAAACGTTTAAACGGTATCCCATTTTTGTAACAATCTGAAAAATAAAAAAAAAAATTTATTACTTAAATGTGATATTTATAAAATTTTTTCGAATTTGTTTTTTATGTTTAATTTTTTTGTACATTATGTATGTATTGAAAATAAAAATTTTTATACAATAAAAAAGTGTTTAATTCTTTTGTGCCTTGTTTATATTATTGAAAATAAAAATGTAAAAGAAATACTTTTCACCGACAAAAAAAAAAAAACGAGTTCCCTAAAGACACTTTTTCGAATCTCGTCGACTTTGTGAAATTTTTTTTAAAGACTCAAACGAATCGTAGAAATTTGTTAAAATGTCCCTGAAGTGAGATACCAATCTTACAAATGTTTGACGGAAAAGAAGAAAAAAAAAAAATTCTCTTTGACAGCGGTTTTTTCTTTTATTATTTTTATTGATGCATTTTAGTTTATTAGAGACTTATTTATAGAAAAAACAAGGAAAAGTTTTTCTTTTCTTTGTGGCGATAAATTGACGGTAAAGTTTTTTTTTTTTGCGATACAATTAAGAAGACACAATTATTATTGTATTATAAAGTTTCTTCTTTAGTCTCTCTCTCTCTCTATCTCCCTCTGATTAATGAAAGTGTAATTGTGAAATTACCACAATGAAATTTATGAGGATCGTACCAGGTGTGCCCCAACACATATGTATTTGAAGGCGCGTAAAGTACGTGAGGTACAACTCACGTATTGTGGTCTATTAGTTAATTATCTGACTACAGAGAGCTTATCTTGATACTATCCAACACTCGTGCACAATCTGTTGCCTGACAAATACACTTTACCCATATCGTATATCCTGCTATATATATATATATAGATGGTTATAATTTGATTAATATCAAAACTTGTCACTTACCTCAAAAACCATTTTGATTTCTTTTTTTTTTATGGAAAATTTAAAGAAATTTTTTTTTTACCCAATTGAGAGCATAAAATTGCAATTAAAATCATTTTAGAAAATTTAGCAATGTCATCTTATGCCCCCGGAATAATCGGCCCTTGAACTTCTCTTTTTGAAAGAAACGAAGCTCTCCCAAGAGAAACCATCAGAAATTATTGAACCGTTGATGCTTCTTCTGAGCTTCGAGTCTTCGATCCATCGGCAGCCAGGGATATAACATTAAAATAAAGTGGATTCGATATCGGTGGCTATGGGTTGAAGTTAATTTAAATCTTTGGAATATCTTTCAAGACTATATACATATACATAGAAAGAGACAGACAGAGAGAGAGAGAGAAAGAGTGGAAATAATCGCATATTGTCGTCTCTAAAACGTCGAAATACAAGAATGGATTTAAATCAATTTTGTCTATTTCAAAAAAGAAAACTATTTTACACTTTTTTTTCAAAAAAAAATTTAAAAAAAAAAAAGATTATACCTAAAAAATGGTATATTTGTCTCAAGAGACAAAATATTTATTTAATTTAAATAAATTTTTATTTGATTTAAATAAAAAATTTTACAAAAAATTAGGCTGTGAGAAAAATATACCGTTTGTTTAACTATATTTGATTCAAATAAAACATTTTTCTGGATGAATAATGAACGTTAAGGAAACCATATGTTTGAAAAATGATTTATTTATATAAATCAAAAATCAACGTCGTTTTCAACTTTGGCGACCATTAACTCAGTAATAAATTATTAAAAAGAAAGAAAAAAATACCTCTTAATCGTCAGCGGATATTGCCTCTTCTTGTACAAGTGCCAAAACGATATATTTTTTCGAGACGTTAGTCGGCCATACTATATATAGTAACAACTCTTTCTCGGTTGGGAAAACCGGAAGTATTTTAAGCTTCTTCTTCTTCAAGTTCATCAAGAAATTGATGGTGTGAAACTAAAACATTAATAGACAAATCAAATTCCAGTATTTATTAATTATTTATTAATTTAAAAATGTTAAATTTATTTTAATAAAAAAAAAAAATTTTTTTTGTGAAATTTTTACGAATATTGGAAAAATTAAATATTTTCATTATTATTTCAATTTTACTTTTATTCATCTTTTTTTTTAAATCTATTTCAATAAAATAATTGGAGAAACTAAACGAAAATTTTACAATATATTTTAATGAAAAAAAACAATTCCTTCTCTTTTATGATTAATTTTTTTTCAATAAAAGAAATTTAATTTAATTTTATTTAAATACAAATGCATTTGTAATTCCTATTACATTGACTGTTAAGAATTTGATTCGAATCTAAATGATATTTTCAGAAAGTGTATACATTGCGTGTATATTGCCATAATAAATGGAGAGAGATTGAAACCAGGATAATTTATTTAATAGAATTTACCACCAATTTTGTGAATTACATTCACTTAATCGAAAAAGTGTATTTACGAAAATTCAGCATAAATACAAAATCGATAGAAAATATTCTGAAATTGAGAATAAAATTTTTTTTTTTTTTCACTTTAGAATTATATTCCAAATATATGGTAAGAATATATAAAGATTTAGAAATTCTATTCTTACATTTAGAATAATATTCTAGCAATTAGAAAATATTTGCTATTTTCTTGGAATTAGAAAATATTCTTAAAATTAGAATAAATTCTTATATTTCGAATTTCAAATAGAAAATATTCTCAATTTAAGAATCTTATAATTTTCCTATAAACTGGAATTTGATTTACTAATACTTTCAAAAATGTTCCTTAATTTTCCACCCACATATTTATACAATTTTTGAGGAATGCAATATCATTGAATTGATTAAAAAAAAAAAAAATGCATTTGTATGTTTATATCGTAACGACCGTTGACAGGTGGAGCGCCGCCGCGCGTCTATTGATTGGTGCCCAGCATCCCCTGTAGCGCCTCCAGACTCCCATAGCCGCGTTGAAATTCCCTTCTCTTCTTCTCCTTTCCTCACCTCTTCGTCCTACTATTCCTCCTCCTCCTCCTTCACCTCTTCCATTTTTTCGTTCCTCTCACTATAACACTCTTCTTTCTCTTCTTCCTCTTTTTCCTCATCATCTTCTTCTTCTTCCTCGTTTTTTGACTTTTAGCCATTTTTTTCCCCTTTCCATAGAACAATGATCTTCTTCTGTCAGTGGTATAACTTTCGTATATATATAACTTTTAACAAGCACGTATTCAAGTGATAAGAATATTTTCCAAATATAATACATAAGTACTTGTGAATATATATTTTTCCCAATGTATAGAGATAGAAAATACACACATAGATAAATAAAAGTAAAATCCAAATGTATAATGAGAGGAAAAAAAAGGTACATTTTTTCCTCATCATTTTACAGAATTAGAATTTTTTTTTATTTGCAGAAATTTTAATTATTTAAAATTAAATTTTAAGGAATAGTAATTTTTTTTTAGTACCCGTGTAGAAATTGCCCTATCAGGGCCCTAGTAGGGAATGAAACGCTGATCAGGGCCAAATTAGGGTGACCAGAAAATGGGGATTTACTAACTAGGGCCACATCAGGCGCTGCGTTTCATTCCCTATTAGGGCCCTAGTAGGGAATGTAACGCCAAATCTAATCAGGGCCAAATCATGCGCAGCGTTTCATTCTCTATCAGAGTCCTAGTAGGGAACATAACTCCAAATCTAATCAGGGCGACCAGAAAATGGGGATTTCCTAATCAGGGCCACATCAGGCGCAGCGTTTCATTCCCTATTAGGGCCCTAGTAGCCAATGTAACGCCAAATCTAATTAGGGATAAATTAGGGCGACCAGAAAATGGGAATTTCCTAATCAGGGCCACATCAGGCGCAGCGTATCATTCCCTATCAGAGCCCTAGTAGGGAATATAAATCCAAATCTAATTAGGGCCAAATTCGGGCGAGTAGAAAATGGGGATTTCCTAATCAGGGCCACATCAGGCGCAGCGTTTCATTCCCTATCAGAGCCCTAGCAGGGAATGTAACGCCAAATCTAATCAGGGCCAAATCATGAGTAGCGTTTCATTCCCTATCAGAGTCCTAGTAGGGAATATAACTTCAAATCTAATCAGGGCGACCAGAAAATGGGGATTTCCTAATCAGGGCCACATCAGGCGCAGCGTTTCATTCCCTATTAGGGCCCTAGTAGGCAATGTAACGCCAAATCTAATTAGGGCCAAATTAGGGCGACCAGAAAATGGGAATTTCTTAATCAGGGCCACATCAGGCGCAGCGTATCATTCCCTATCAGAGCCCTAGTAGGGAATATAAATCCAAATCTAATTAGGGCCAAATTAGGGCGAGTAGAAAATGGGGATTTCCTAATCAGGGCCACATCAGGCGCAGCGTTTCATTCCCTATCAGAGCCCTAGCAGGGAATGTAACGCCAAATCTAATTAGGGCCAAATTAACGCGTCCAGGAAATGGGGATTTTCTAATCAGGGCCACATCAGGAGCGGCGTTTCATTTCCTTATAGGGCAGTCTGATCTGGCCCCGGTCTGGGCCCTGGTAAAATTTCTACACGGATAATATCAAATAAATATGGATGTGATTCGTATATTTATATATAATTAGAAATGCGCCGGGTACAGATGTCAGTCAAGTAATTGTGATAGTAGTAATGGTGTGAGGAATCACACTGAATAACGGAGCTAGTAGTAACATCCGATACAAATCAGACACAGGACATCAGCTCTCAACGTCAGAGAAAGACAGAGCTTGTCTGATAATAATCTATAATCAACAACTATATAAATATTTAACGGAACTAATTTCATTTCAAATTTCACGTCAAATATACCACCGAGTATTTTATTCAATAAAAAATTTTTTTTGATTACTAAAGATTATCAATTTTAAATGGAACTAAAATTACAAAATATCATTTATATATATATTTATATTTCTATATTGTAATTAAAGAAAAATTCTTTGATTTCATTAATTATGAATTATTTAAAAATTGTAAATAAATGTAATTTTGCAATATAAAAATGTGATTTAAATGTTGTGTTGTTTCTTTTTTTTCAGGTGCAATATTCGAACAAGGCACCGATGAAGTTCAATCTGCCTTCACGTTCGCGATGTTTAACCACAATCAGAACACTACGAAGCGTAACTTTGAATTGCAAGCTTACGTTGACGTGATAAATACTGCGGATGCTTTCAAGCTTTCTCGCCTCAGTAAGTGACGATTCACTCTGATTTACAAATTCTTTCTCGCAGTGAAAACTTTTTTTTTTTTGTTCATTTATTTTTCTTTCACGTTCACGTTGAAAAAAACATTTTGCATTGGTTTTTTTTTCTTCTTCTTCTTCAAATTATTTATTGTTGTAAATAAAAGTTTTGATTTAAAAACTTTTTTTTAAATTATAAAAATAAAAGAAATTTTAAATTAGTTATGAGATTTTATTATTATTTTGATTGATTTTTATTTTTAAAAAGATTTAAAATAACTTTTACTTTAATAATTGAAGGTAAATAATAGAATTAAAAAAAAATAAAATATACAATAGAAAATGTAAAATACATTGTTAAACATTGTTTCTAAAGATAAAAGTAGAAAAACGCGTGTTCTTGGAGGGCAAAAATAAAGTGGTCAATATACAAAGAGAGGAAGAGAAGTAAAAAACATGAGAAAAGGGGTTGGGATTTCGCCAAAAGCAATGTTTTTTTTTTTTTTTTTTTTTTTTTTGGTGTGTTAGGGGGAAATGCGGCTTTCTATATACACACAGTGTTTGATAGGTTCTAATCCACGGGTGTTGGTTGATCGACCTCTGAGGCCTTTGAAGTCGACCATCGAGTCTCTTTTACCCGGCAGATTCCTCGCCTGAAAAGACAAAGGCTATCCGAGGGGAGAAAGAGGGGAGGTATCGCGTGAAAACAAGAGAATGCCGCTGTAGCAGCTAGTTTCGAGTTTACACAAAATTCTCCACTTTTCACGCTGGAATGCCAATACTTGACTTTTCTTTGATGTCAGAGGTCTGATCCTGCCTTCTTCTATCAAGAGCGTTTAACAACACCAAAAGAAAAGAATATTCTACCTATATATACACTACAATATATAGAAAAATTTTATCCAGGGCCAAATCTATATGAAGGGTTAGTCAGCGAAATTAAATAATTGTTTCGCGGAATTTCGCGTAATCCGCGATTTTTGTTTCGCTGAAACCGTATTGTAATTTCGTTAATTACGCGATCTAGTTTCGCGGAATACGTGAACAAGTTTCGCGTAATCCGCGATCTTGTTTCGCGGCATTCGTGAGCTAGTTACGTTAATTCCGCGATCTAGTTTCGCGGAATTCGTGTACTAATTTCGCGAATTTCGTGATCAACTTAGGCGGAATTCGTGACCTAGTTTCGCAAAATCCGCGATCTAGTATCGCATAATTTGTGATCCAGTTTCGCGAAATCCGCGATCTTGTTTCGCTGAATCCGTGTTGTAATTTCGCTAATTCCGCGATTTAGTTTCGCGATATCCGTGATCTAGTTTCGCGTAATTATGCGATCTAGTTTCGCGGAATACGTGAACCAGTTTCGAAAAATCCGCGATCTAGTATCGCATAATTTGTGATCCAGTTTCGCGAAATCCGCGATCTTGTTTCGCTGAATCCATGTTGTAATTTTGCTAATTCCGCGATCTAGTTTGCGATATCCGTGATCTAATTTCGCGTAATTACGCGATCTAGTTTCGCGGAATACGTGAACCAGTTTTGCAAAATCTGCCATCTAGTTTCGCGGAATTCGTGAGCTAGTTACGCTATACCCGCGATCTTGTTTCGCGGAATTCGTGTACTAATTTCACGAATTTCGTGATCTACTTAGGCTGAATTCGTGACGTATTTTCGCGGAATCCGTGATTTAATTTCGAGAATAGATTCTGAAATTCGTAAGCTAGTTACGCTAAACCCGCGGTCTAGTTTCGCGTAATTCGTGTACTAATTTCGCGAATTTCGTGATCTAATTAGGCGGAATTCGTGACGTAGTTAGGCGGAATTCGTGACGTAGTTTCGCGGAATCCGTGATCTAATTTCGGAAATAGATCCCGAAATTCGTAATCTAGTTTCCCAAACTCCGCCATCTAGTTTCGCAGAATTTGTGATCCAGTTTCGCGTAATCCGCGATCTTGTTTCGCTGAATCCGTGTTGTCAGTTCGCTAATTCCGCGATCTAGTTTCGCGTAATTCGTAACCTAGTTTCGCGGAATCTGTGATCTAATTTCGCAAAGATCAGCGATATAGTTTCGTGGAATTCGTGTACTAATTTCGCGATCTAGTTTCGCGGAATTCGTGTACTAATTTCGCGATCTAGTTTCGCGGAATTCGTGTACTAATTTCGCGATCTAATTTCGCGTAATTCGTGTAATAATTTCGTGTAATAATTTCGTGATCTAATTTCGCGTAATTCGTGTAATAATTTCGCGATCTAATTTCGCGTAATTAGTCACCAAGTTTCGCGGAATCCGTGATTTAATTTCGCGTATTCCGTGATTTATTTATTTTTCATTTTTCTAGCTACTCAGTTTTTATTTAATCCCATAAAATATTGTATTTTAGATCAATTTTATTTTCGTCTTTCGAAGGAATAAAAAAAAAATTTCCGCAGTTAAAAAAACAATTAATCAATAGTTTTTGAAAGTTTGCCGATGAATTGACAGATTTTTTTTTCCCCGCGTGTTTTTTGTTGCTGTGCGGGAACTTTTGTTCTAATTTACAAGAAGGGTCTGTTTGTATGTATATATATATATATATATATATATATATATATATATATATATATATGTGTGTAAGAATAAAAAACGACTAGAAAAAATATAAAACGTGTTGATGGTGAAATTTCAGAAAAGTAAATTCTCATTTTCAAAGACTTCCTACGTGTGTGGCTCTAAAAAAGAAACTTTTTCTCCTGACCTACAAAGTTTTCACGTTACAAGTGCCGGCACAACTTTTCATAATGATAAGGAGAACGAAGAAAGTAAATTTTCTCTCAAGGAACAAAAAAAATATTTTTCATCGAAAAATCATTTTTTTTAATTTATCGTTTTCTTTATAAGAAATTAATTAAAAAATAAATGGAAAATTATTTTTATCTATTTGAGGAAAGTATTTTTTTTTTTTTTTCTAAAATATATATAAATAACTACAACTGTCGTAGTAACTCTTTTTGATATAAGAGATATTTTCTGTCTAGGCGGAAATTGATTTTTACATTTTGACGATTTCATCGTTGCGCACCGCAATACCGATGGGAACCATTTAAGGATATGTCGGTTCATTTCCGTCCCCGTTTTGTAAACGTAAACCACGAGCAGAGAAATTTTGGGCTCAGTCCAAGGGGGGCCAAGGAGGCCGTACACGTTATAGTACTTAGCAAAGCTGCACTAATTGTATTAATGCCAGTTGGTTTGCCTCGCTCATAATCCCCAACCTCTTCTACATAGTGTTCCAGAGAAAATCTATTATACAAACCTTAATAATAATAATACCAAGTGTCCTTTATTCTAACATTAATATGTAAACAAAAAGCCCCTTTAATCTCAAAATTACAATAGGCAAATTTAAGCGTTCAGTTTAAAAAAAAAATCCTTGGAGAATTTCGGAAATTTTTTTTCAAACAAAAACATATACATACATACCTGTAGAAGAAAAATTATAAATACTAAGCCTGCTCAAACTAATAAATTAATTAATTTATCATTTTTCGAAAAGTTGGGGGGGTATTAGAAAATAATCAAGAAAGAATATTAAATTGAAAGACTAAATGTAAAGCTGTGTCGGTCTATCGCTTCTCGATGCATATCGCATAATATCCTGATAGGATTCTTGGCTCACGTTTCCCATAGCTATGATGGTGAATGAGTATATATATATATATATATATAAAAGGGGGTTGAGGTTGTCAGCAAGGGTTGCATAAATCTGCTGAGGACTCCCGAGGGTATTTCCCTTCTTTTTCACCATCTAGTCCTTTTTCCTCTGTCTTTCTCCTTTCTCTCGCTCTCTTTTACTCACAGTCCTTGTATGTGTGCGCTATATAGAGAGCAGACGCGGTATGAATCCCGAGGTTCAATTCCCGACGGTTTATCCAACGCCCGAAGGTGCAAGACCACGCGAGAAGGTGAGCGCAAAGTCTGTGCGAGTATGTTCATATATAGATATACTATCTCATAGATATATATATATATAGAGAGAGGCGAGGGAGAATGAACGGCAAAGGGAGCAAAAGTGTGCCTCAAAAGCAACGGGGGTAAAGGAAATTGCAAGATGGGAAAAGGCGCTGAAAACTTTGCCAAACCTTCAATTTCTTGCAACGTTAAAAGCCTTTATACACTTGCATAGCTTTTACACTCCTTATATATGTCTATATATATATATACCGCATCTCATATAAGAAGTGTCGTAAATAATCTCCTCAACTCTCAAATTTTTGAATCGCCTCAAGCCACATGCAAAATATCATCCTATACGGGGAAAAAAAATAAAATTAATTATCACCGATTTTTTTTTTAGGAAAACCTACCTTCAATTGAATTGAAAAAAGAATAGAATAGGAAATTATGTTTGACATTTATTTTAAAAAAAATTTTTCTGTAAAAGTTATCAATTACGCAGAAAAAGTTTTCACGGTGTCAATATTCCAATTGACTTTCGACTATATATAGAATAAAGAGAAAAGTTTCTATAGATATTGAGGAAAGGTAATACCCACGATATTGCTATGGCAGTACAGAAAGTGTTGGGGTGTGTGTGTGTGGGTCTTTGATTCTCTACCATGAAAGCGAAGCGCCAGATATCCTTCAAGATTTCCATTTTCCTTCCAATCTTCGGCGGAAAATGCGATCGATTCGGAATCGTCTTCTATTTAAAAAAAAAAAAAATTCGTAACAATTTTTTTTTAATTTATGTATTTAAAATTTTTGGTTTTTGGTTTTTTTTTAAAGAAAATTAGATGATTCTGCATTGAAAGTAGTTTAAATCTACATTGAAGCTAATTTGAAACTACGTTCAACCTAATTTGAAACTAAGTTCAACCTAATTTGAAACTACGTTCAAACTACTTTATACCTACTATGTACCAACTTTCAAACTACATTCAACCTTCCTTGAACCTACTTTAAAACTACGTTCAACCTACTTTGTACCTAAATTTGCCCTCCATTAAAACTACGTTTAACCTACTTTGAAA